TACTCACTGGATGGCTCTTTGCTGCTGTGCTCTCTGCGTGCATGTATGCACAGCTGCACAGGTGTGTTCCTGTGTGGTTGCTTGCTTTGCTGCTGGGAGGCGTGGGTGTACATGTACCAGTTGCCGCTGTGCCACCACCACCACTCGCCGTCTGACCTGCCGTGCCGCTGCTAGATACTGCTGGCGCGAGCTTGTTGCTGTGTCGGCTTTGGCTTTGGTCCCCGCCTGAAGGGTCTTCCGGTCGAGTGGCTGCTGTTGGTCGATGGAGACTGGCCCATCTTGAAGCGGCCTTGTTTTTCTTTGGGTAGGGCGAGTGGAGGGGCGGGAGCGGGGTTGAGTGGGGAGGTGGGGCATGTCGTTCTTTGTTTTTGAGCTAGTGGTTCTACTGTTCTGGCCTCGCTGGACACTGCAACGATGGCGGGAGCGAGGGTGTGCACTGCGGAGCCAAAAGCTCTTCGGGCGTGGTTGGTTAGTTTGCTGTCGGGGCTTCTGAGAGAATTCCACTCCATGTAAGGATGCGGCAGAGCTTGATTGTCTCTCGAGTCGACCTCTCTTTCTTACCGGAAGCCCGCGCGTCGAAGTCCTGCTACTGGTGTCTGCCCAAGTCTAAGTTCGGGCTTCATCCGCACTCAGCTTTCCGGCTCTTCTTGTTGGTGGGCTGGCCCACTTTGCATCGCTTTTTGACATGGCTGCGGTGGGTCATGTCGGGTCTGGGCTTCGCCGCTTTTCGCATGCTGCGGTGTGTTGACCCCACTTCCTTGGTGGGCGCAGCCATTTCCGCGCGTAGCTGTGCTGCTGTGGCCATGCGACATGCTGCGAGCGCCTGTTGCTGTTCGGGACTTTCCAGGATGTTGTGGACCTTGACCCAGCTCACGCTGCCGCGGCTTCTCCCGACGTGCAAGGGTTCCCGCAGGATCAGAGGGTCTTCGAGGAGCCAGGCATGGACGCAGGCGGCTTTGTTCGCGTAGCGCTCGATCCTGTCTGGGGCGACTCCGTGCTTGTCCTCGTGCAACGCTGCCTCTGTCGTGGTAAGCATTAGGCACCCACTGACTTTCACGCTGCCCCAGCAGCGACCTGTCTTGCTGCCCAGCAGAAGAACGCGCTTTCCCAGGGCATCTTTGCAGGCGCTCTTGCGCAGCTCCCAGACTTTGGTCCCTGCGAGAATCTGGCACAAGTACTCGGGCCTGATGGTCAGTCCGCTGCTGTGAATCACTGCGTCGGATGCCTTCCGGGATCAGGTGGTGCGACGGGGAGAAAGAAAGGGAAGCGACACAACTTCTTTGCGTGCCGCACTTCTTGTGCGACCTCGCCTGACTTGCCAGCCCCCGAAGTGGCGTCATGACCTCTCAACGAGCGACACGAAAGCTTGCGCCGTCGGTGTGACCGAGCGAGTGCCTTCTTCTTGGCAGAGCGGCAGCTGGGGTGTTTGCTATAGTTTTGCTGATTTCGAGCACAAAAAAAGCTGTCGCAAGCGCCACCGGTTCTTGCCGCTTGCGTGGCTGTTTCGCTTCATCTGTCTGCGGGGGCATGGCTGACACCTCGTGCTGGTCGTGACGTCTGTTTTACCTGTCCGAGGTGCCTCGTCTGGTGTGAGACGCGCCGGCCTTTTAGAGCCGTGCTATTGGCATGAAGCTCAGACCCATGCGATGATTATCGCGGATGAGCACGGTGTTCGTCTTCGCTTGCAGCAGCACCTTCGAGACCAGAGCGTCCTGCGAGTTTGAGGCTGTGCTGGACTGGCTTTCTTGCTTGTGCAGATCTTCGGGGTCTGGCCACTTGCATGTCATGGTTGTCCTTCCTGACGCGGAGATGACCCACCTGGCAGAAGGTCCCCGATTTGATGAGAAAGCAGCCGATGTACTGCGATGCACTAGACACGACCCGGTTGCTCTGGCCGTGGCCGGGTGTGGTGTCAGTATCCATCGTCGGTGTTCACCTCTTCCCACGTGACGCTGGGCCTGCCCAGAACGGAGCACGTGAAGTGTATGTGCTGTGCTGCACAACTGAGGTCCAGACAGAGGCTTGTGGTTCCGCTCGGCGATCCTTCTCACGCGCCTGCTCATGGCACAGATTCGCACACGCGCTCGGCTTTCCGTTTGAGATGAGCAGCAGGAGCTCCACCCGGATGTCGATCTTGCCGGCATTGTCCGTGGTCTTTGTTTGTGCCAGTGCCTCGACCGTGCCGAGGAATTCACTTCCCGTGTTAAGATCCTGCTGGAGGCCCCGGCCAGCTTGTAGAACTCGTAGGGACGCACGTGCGGAAGGTCGCCCATGAGGCGCCAGACCTTCTCGCGGCCCTGTGCGAGGCACACGGTCTGCCGAGTTGTAGTGGCACTTACAGGCACCTTGAGGATGTTGCCGCTTTTCAGGGTTGTCACGAACCTCCAGCCAGAGAGAACAGACGACTGAACGGAATGCGCGGGCACGACTTGCGCCTCTGGTCGTCGGACATGTTGTGGGAGCTTAAGCTACCACTCAAGGTTTCCAGGCAAGCAGCTGGAGCGAGTGCAGGAGCGCTGCGGCAGGTGGGCTAGCTTTATCGCAGCATGTCTTGCCGACACGCGTGACATGTTGGCAGGGCCCGACATGTGCACGCAATGCTCAATTTTAATGCTTGTGGCCACGCGGGTCCAGTTTGGGTCCGTCCGCATGCGGACTTCGGGTGCTTCTTTGGGTCGATGTGTTCGGCGGCATCCTGGGGGCTTGCACAGAACGCTAGCTGGCTGGTGAGAGCGTGCATGCATGTAATAGTGACCTGGCGGCCTCTGTGGTCGGGTGGCGATGTCGGCCATGCCTTGGCCGCCAGATCATGGTTTCGACTGTTCAGGCTGGGCGGGTCTCAGAACGCTCTTCAGGGCTTGGCTGGGTCCTGGATGCAATCGCAGGATGGACTAGGAACTGGCACCTGCTTCGCTAGCTGCAGGCGAGTTGCGAGGGTCGCTGCACCTTGGCTGCTACGCCCGGCTTTATTGGACGTGCCGATCCTCTGTTTCGCTCTTTGCTGCGAAGGCGGGCGCGTGCATGCCTTTTTTTTTCCGCGAGCTTTCCCGCGAAGACGGTCTGCCTAGGGCCTAGAGCAAAGGCTCTCCGCCAAGGCTCTTCGCAAGTTGCGTGCGGCCATGTCGGCTTTTCTCCGGAGCCTGCGAGTTGCGGGTCTTGCCCGGATTTCCTGCGACCATACTATGAAGTTATGCACTGGCTCGAGGGAGCAGTCGCTCAGCACCAGCCGCACGGGCTGCGTGCCCGACTTCAGGCACTCTGCCTTCAGTGCCAGTCTCTGTGCTGTCTTGCGCAGGTGTCGGAGTGTCACATTTGATCGGACATATCTCACTGGCTGCTGGATGCGGCGGCCGCTCAGCGTGAAAAAGTTGGCCGTGAGGGTGTCGCGGCACGCCTCTAGCTGGCACTGCACCACCAGGGGTGTCTCCGCCATCCCGGCACGAAACTGTGCGGGGTGTTGAGTATGCAGTGGGAGAGTGCTAGTGTGGCGGCTAGCCTTGGTGTGTTTGTGCTTGCGTCATGGGTTACGGTGACCTAATTAACCTGCTGCTGGCAGAGCTCCTGCTGTCTGTGCTGCTCATGGTGCCAAAGCTTGAGTCCAAATTTGCTCTACGGCGAGTGTTTGCGTTGCGGCAGAGAAACCTGACACTGGAAGCTGACGAGTTCAGGAAGAATAGCAGGGGTGTTGCGCGAGACAGTGTTTTGACAGTGGGAGCGTGCACGCATGTGATTGCAGCCTGGCGGCTGCTGCGCGTTTCGGCCTTGTTGGCCGTACCTTGGCGTCCAGATCAGATGATTGCTAGCACATTGGAAGCCTAGCATGGACAGATGTGGACATGCACGTGTTTAATTGCAGCCGAGTCGCTTGCACCAAAAATCAGTCCTTGGCTTGGACATGTTCAGTGAATGCATGCGTGGGAAGTATGAGAGTGTGAAGGTCTTCGAAGGCACCCCCCAGCGTACTTAGTACTGGGATGGCCTTATTTTAGGCGCCTTATAAGAGAATGTCCCGCAGCACACGCTCCCTGCTTCCCCGATGTTTCTGGTCGGATTGAAACATCCTTCGCCCATATGTGTTCACCGATTGGAGATAGATCGGATCCCCGGTAGTAACGCGCACCCGCGAGCGAGTACACGCGTTCCCGTTGACAGGCTCAATGGGAAGCCCCCTTGGCCCTTGGCACTGAGGAAAACAAACCGATCCTCGCGCAAAGCGCGTCCGTGGCACACATCCCAAAAGTATGCCCGCGGCCTACTTTTGGAATGCTCAAGGAAGGCACCTCGGCTCTTTTTAGGTATTTGGAGGCCGATTCGCTAGTGAACTGGCGCGTACAGCAGTCGCTGTAGTTCAACGCCATTGCTAGCTTCCAAAAGACAGTTAGCATGTCCCCTTAGGGGGCGAGCGGAGGGTCCCAAAAGCGCATTGTGTGTACGGTTCGGGTTCGGCGTTTTCGGTGCTTGGCTGCCACTTGCCAGGCCTCATAAATTGCCGGCAGGTGGCAATCCTAAGGGGTGTAGATTGTCAGAAGGTGGCAATCCTGGTGGGGGGGGGGGGCTAGATTGCCAACAGGTGGCAATCACACCCGCGTTTTTGGTGCTTAGCTGCCACTTGCCAGGCCTAATGGATTGCCGACAGGTGGCAATCTTAGGGGGTCTAGATTGTCGGAAGGCGGCAATCGTAGCGGGGTACAGATTGTCAACAGGTGGCAATCACAGGGGATTTAGATTGTCAGCAGGTGGCAATCTTAGGGAGTACAGATTGCCAACAGGTGGCAATCTTAAGGGGGTACAGATTGCCAACAGGTGGCAATCACAGGGGATCTAGATTGTCAGCAGGTGGCAATCTTCGGGGGTACAGATTGCCAACAGGTGGCAATCTTAAGGGGGTACAGATTGCCAAGAGGTGGCAATCCTGGTGGGGGTTGGTGGAAAGGGGGCGGATGGCTGTCACACTCCCTTGCTGGCCGGTTGCCCTTTGGATTGTCAGCAGGTGGCAATTTTCAGGGCTTCAGATTGTCAGCTGGTGGCAATCTGGGTGGAGCTTGGTGGAAAGGGGGCGGATGGCTGTCACACTCCCTTGCTGGCCGTTTGCCCCTTTGGATTGTCAGTAGCTCTGGACCCTCCCGGCGGATGCGGGTGAAAGCGATGATGGCCGTGTCGCCGCCCCAGTGACCCGGATCGCTTTGGAGGTATTGGCTTTCCTGTAGCCAGGCCTGCACTTGCTCTTCGTCTTCTTCGGCTTCTGCGTTCTCTCTGAGGTACTGGATGATTAGGGCTCGGAGGCATGCCCCGCTCTCGCCGGTGTTCTCTCCGAGCGCGTGGAAGAGGCAGTTGCCGTCGCCTGACATCTTCTTGATGGCCAGCATGCCCCGAAAGTGCTCCTCTCGGGTGCATTGTCTGCTTGCCTAAAGAGCGCTCTTGACAGTGGATGCTCGAGGGAAAACGCCGGCCTCGACGCTGGGTCCGGGCTCCGTGTCGTGGTCGGAGTCCGTCTCGGCCCCCCCTCGTCGCGCGGCCGGTCCTTCGTGAGATGGTTCAGCGGCATCCCTTGCGAGCTTTGCCGCTTCCTCGGCTTCGTTGCTTGGCGCTGTTGCCTCGGCGGTTCTGTCGGCCTGTGCACACAGTGGGTCTAGACGCTTACCGGGGGGTGAGTGTTCCTGCTTTTTGTTATTTTGGGGGTGCGGGGTTTTGACACTGCAGCCGGCTCTACAACTGGGGTTGCGGTCCCCTGTTCCCTGTGGTTGTTGCAAGGCTCGCGCTTCTTTTTACCTCGGCTGCGGCGGTGGTTCGATCAGCCAGAGGTAGACGTGCTTCCAATCCTCTTTGGGATGAAGCCGTCTTAAAAAATCGTACAGTGGCTTGCCACTGTTGGGTGAAACATGGGCCTTAAGGTCTCTGGTGATGCCTTTGACCCGCCCATCGTGAACCTCCTCCTCGCCGATCACCCGGTACCTCACGGACTTGGTGCCCTTTGGTCGGCCGGGTTTCACGGCGAAGAGGGGCATCACATCCATCCCCCTCAGTCCTTCAGCCTTCAGGTGGTTTTCCACGGTCATCGAAACGCCACGCCTCAGGCAGGAAAGAGGGCGGATCACCCGAAAGAAATTGCCTGCAAATTGAGGCCCCCGCTCCAACCTGCGGACTTCGAGAACGGTGTTGGTACACCCCTCTCTCCGCATCTTCTTCAACTGGTTCTTCGACACCTGAACGAGGCTTACTTGAAGGCCACTTGCTCTTCGACCGCTTCCGGCCTTGGATCTCATGGCTTCAAGCAGACCCCGGGCGCCCACCCCGGCTGAAGGAGCTTGAGCTTGCAAATCTGCAGAAGTGATCGGCTCTTTTTAGGTATTTGGAGGCCGCTTCGCTAGTGAACTGGCACATACAGCAGTCGCTGTAGTTCGACGCCATTACTAGCTTCCAAAAGACAGTTAGCATACCCCCTTAAAGTGCGAACGGAGGGTCCAGAAACGCACTGCGTGTACGGTTCGGGTTTGTGTTCCTGAGGGGTCTAGATTGTCGGAAGATGGCAATCCTGGTTGGTGGGTTGGGGGGGGGGGTCACATTGCCAACAGGTGGCAATCACACCTGCGTTTTTGGTGCTTAGCTGCCACTTGCCAGGCCTGATGGATTGCCGGCAGGTGGCAATCTTAGGGGGTCTAGATTGTCAGAAGGCGGCAATCGTAGGGGGGAGGGGGGGTATAGATTGCCAACAGGTGGCAATCACAGGAGATCTAGATTGTCAGCAGGTGGCAATCTTAAGGGGGGGGGGGGGTGTCACATTGCCAACAGGTGGCAATCACACCTGCGCTTTTGGTGCTTAGCTGCCACTTGCCAGGCCTGATGGATTGCCGGCAGGTGGCAATCTTAGGGGGTCTAGATTGTCAGAAGGCGGCAATCGTAGCGGGGCACAGATTGCCAACAGGTGGCAATCACAGGGGATCTAGATTGTCAGCAGGTGGCAATCTTGGGGGGTACAGATTGCCAACAGGTGGCAATCTTAAGGGGGTACAGATTGCCAACAGGTGGCAATCACAGGGGATCTAGATTGTCAGCAGGTGGCAATCTTAGGGGGTACAGATTGCCAACAGGTGGCAATCTTAAGGGGGCACGGATTGCCAAGAGGTGGCAATCCTGGTGGGGGTTGGTGGAAAGGGGGCGGATGGCTGTCACACTCCCTTGCTGGCCGGTTGCCCTTTGGATTGTCAGCAGGTGGCAATCTTCAGGGCTTCAGATTGTCAGCTGGTGGCAATCTGGGTGGAGCTTGGTGGAAAGGGGGCGGATGGCTGTCACACTTCCTTGCTGGCCGTTTGCCCCTTGGGATTGTCAGCAGCTCTGGACCCTCCCGGCGGATGGCTGTTACACTCCCTTGCTGGAATGGGGTTCAAGGTTTGTTGGGCTCTGGGGTTCGTCAGGGTGGAAGCTTTGAAGGGGCTTTGGAAAGGTTAGGGCTCCAGGAAGCTTCGTCTGTCACCACTACAGTAGGGCTCCCGGAATCTTCGGCATCCACCGCTACAGGAGAGCTCCAGGAAGCTTCGTTGTTCGCCTCTCCAGTAGGTCTCCAGGAAGCTTCGGTTTCCGCCTCTACAGTAGGACTCCAGGAAGCTTCGGCTTCACTTCTACAAGAGGCCTCCAGGATGCTTTGGTTTCGACTCTACAATAGGGCTGCAGGAAGCTTCGGTATCTACCTCTACAAGAGGGCTCCAGGAAGCTTCGGCACCCACCGCTATAAGAGGGCTCCAGGATGCTTCGTTTTTCGCCTCCGCAGTAGGGCTCCAGGAAGGTGGGCTTTGGTGGGTAGGGTTTTCGGGGGTAGGGGTTTAGGGTTTGGGGTTGAAAGAGCTTGGTTTGAGTAGATTGAAGGGTTGTCATTTTTTGTGGAGCTGGTGTTTGTTGCATGGGGCCGCGGTGTCTGCAAGTCAGGTCAGGGCTTTGGGATTGGGGTTTGCTGTTGTGTTCGGGGCTATGACGAAGGCTTTCGAGATAATGGTTTGGTGTTGGGGCTTTAGCTTTCTTTTTATGGCCGAGGCCGTATTTTATTAGTGGTTCGGGGTTTGTGGTTAAGGGTTCCTTTTAGGGTTTGTGTCGCCGTACTTTAAGGGGTTAGTTCCTGGTTTCGAATTCCATTGCGTTTCCGCTAGTCGCTTTAGATGTTTCAAGTTCCGAAGAAGTCGACCTGAGCCCGCATGTCCCTTTTGGTCGGAACGCTTCAACTTTCAAGTTTTATTTCATTTGAAGTCTGGGTGCTGCCCGCGACGTTGCTTCTCGGGTTGTTTAGGTTGCTTTGCGTCGGGACGTACGTCTTTACCTTTCTTGCTCAGGTGCAGCTTCGAACGCTTCCGCCCCGGCTTCTTCGTCGTACCTGGGCCCTGATGCCCTAATGCCTCAATGCCCGAATATCCTAATCTCCTTAAGATCCAAACATCTTGGCGCCAACATATTCTGGGAGTGTGGCTTGTAACAGAGATTCCGTTTTTCGGTGGCTCAGAAGAGGGGGCTTGGGGAGTAGACACAAATGCCTGGCACATTTGATTGCAATTCTTGATTGGCTTAGAAACACCCTAATGGCCCTAATCCCCTGATGCCTCAATGCCCGAATACCCTAATCTCGTTAAAATCCAAACATCTTGGTGCCACAATATTTTGGGAGTGTGGCTTGAAACAGTGATTCGGTTTTTCGATGGCTCAGAAGAGGGGGCTTGGGAAGTAGACACAAATGCTTGTCACATCTGATTGCAGCTTAAAAACACCTGCGTTCGGTCCCGACCCCTTCCCCGGAACTTTTTCCCTAAATCCCCTTCGGATCGCAGCGGGGCGGGGCTGGGCCGGGACCTCAGAGTGTGTTGCCGTAGGAGGGTCTTCACTAGGAGTAGTGCAGGCTTCGGGGGGTTTCCGGGGTTTCTTGGAAGGTGCTCTGAGGCTGCAAGGTAGTGTCCGTGCGCGCTCCCTTCCCTTCCCCCGCCTCCTTCCTCCCCCCACCCTCCCCTCGCCCAGGTCCGACCTCGTTGACGATGCTGACTGGTCCCTCTTAGGTTTCAGGGTTAGGTTTTTTTTCGGAAGGCTGGTTGGGGCTCCGAGGCAGCGAGGCAGTGGTCCGTGCACGCCAGGTTCAGGGTTTTTTCAGGTTGGAAGGCCGGGGTTTTCGTAGGCCGCGAGGTTTAGAGTGCAGGTGCACAGGGTTCTCTGCTGGGGTCGGGGGGTTTTCGGGGTTTGTAGGTCCCTAAACCTCTCGGGGTACCCTAGGCCGCCTTGCATCCGGGATCCCCGCCCCCCCGCCTCCTTCCTCCCCCCACCCTCCCCTCGCCCAGGTCCGACCTCGTTGACGATGCTGACTGGTCCCTCTTAGGTTTCAGGGCTAAGTTTTTTTTTCGGAAGGCTGGTTGGGGCTCCGAGGCAGCGAGGCAGTGGTCCGTGCACGCCAGGTTCAGGGTTTTTTCAGGTTGGAAGGCCGGGGTTTTCGTAGGCCGCGAGGTTTAGAGTGCAGGTGCACAGGGTTCTCTGCTGGGGTCGGGGGGTTTTCGGGGTTTGTAGGTCCCTAAACCTCTCGGGGTACCCTAGGCCGCCTTGCATCCGGGATCCCCGGCCCCCCGCCTCTCTGCCCAGGTGCTTCCAGCTGGGGCGGTGCCGTCGCCGCGCCAGCTGCGGGGAAAAAGGGGGTTTGAGGCGGGTCAGGGGGGGCCGAGCGGGAGCACCACTCGCGAGTCCCGGTCCTTCCCTGGCTCGTAGGGTTTAGGGTTTAGGATCGTGACATGGCGAGGGGCCAAGCCGAGAACCCCACCCGTGACATGGCAAGGGGCCAAGCCAAGAACCCCATCCGCCCAGCCGGGCAACACTTGACGACGCAACGACGGGCCGGCGTGCCCAGCATCCGGCCGAGGAGCCATGATTCGACAACGGGCCGAGCGCCAACCATCCGGGCGCGAGCACTTTGCTGCACCGCCGCCGAGCTCTAGGCTAGGCCATAGGGGAAGTGTTTTGAGCATATCCTAGCAGGCAGCAGCAGCAGCAGCAGCAGTAGACACAAATGCCTGGCACATCTGATTGTAATTCTCGATTGGCTTAAAACAACACACAATTTGCGGCCCAGTTGTTGCACGTCGCTTCGTCGGTGAGTCCGGACCTGAGCTTCAGAACTGTTTGCACCGCTCGGGCTTGCATGCCTTTTGCCTTTCGCATTGGATTCCATGTCTGAGTGATTGAGTGCAGTGCATACAACTTCTGCTTCTGTGGCCACTGTGGTTTACGGTGGGTGTTTGATGGGGGTTACGGGATTCGTATTTGGGGTGTCTGGTTTGGGGTTTCCCGGGCTTTAAGTTCTAGGGTGCAGCGCTGTTCTGTATCTTTCTTTTGCATCTGCCGTCAAAATGGT